CCTTCCAAAACCGACCAGAGCCGCAACAAACACTATCGAACAGAAGCCGGAGGTCTGGCGATTCGACCCTCGAGAGGCGGCCGAACCGAGCAGACGCCATGGACCGCGAGTGGGGCTCCAAGCCCGGCAGCGGCGGCGCCGCCACCGCCCAGAATGAGGCCATTGACCGGCGGGAGCGCCTGCGCCGCCTCGCGCTCGAGACCATCGACCTCGCCAAGGACCCGTACTTCATGCGAAACCATCTCGGCAGGTAATCCCCCCGCCGCAAAACCCTAGATTCTTCGTCTTCTCGATTCGCATAGCTCTGCCTGCTGATTCCGCTCGTTTTTTCGTGTGTCAAGCTATGAGTGCAAGCTCTGCCTGACGCTCCACAACAACGAGGGGAACTACCTCGCGCACACGCAGGGGAAGCGGCACCAGACCAACCTCGCCAAGCGTGCCGCCCGCGAGGCCAAGGACGCGCCCGCGCAGCCCCAGCCAAACAAGCGCAAGCTCGCGCCCCGCAAGTCTGGTGCGTAAAGAATTACCTCCCTGTGTTTTTAATTTACCCGAGTAGTTTACTGGTAGAATTAAGGTTCTCCTAAGCTGACATGACTTCGCATTGTTCAACTATGTAGGGCCTGCTATTTTAGTTCTGCAGATGCCTGGTCTATGTTTTTTCTTTATCGATTTCAGTAATGTCATTGCGCTAGGTTTGTTCAGAGTACTTGGTGTGAGCCATACCGAGTTGCATATAACCTTGGATCTCTTTACTTCTGTAATGAACGAATTTGACGTTTTGAGCGAGGCAATGATATATCAGATCTCTTTGAAGATCTTGGTGGTATTTCAAGTTTCATCTCGATGTGAGTTTATAACGTTTATTTGGGTATTCAGTGTTGCAAGCACAATGGTTGAGGACTGTTGCAGGATGGATGTGTCAAATTTGCCCTGTCAACTAACAATCTTGTACCTTGCTTTGTGCTCTGATAATTTTAGGTATGAGAGTGGGACGGCCTAATTAGAGTGTTTTGTTGGATAACAGAATGTGAACATTAACTTCACAGTAGTAATCTTCATTTTTATCCACGGTTTAGGCGTGTCTTTAACTATTGATACATCAATAAGGCAGCAATGAAAAGTAAATACCCTGTTCCGATAATAAATATCCCTTGATTAGTTAAAGGGAGCCAAGTCTATAAAGTTGATCTTGGGTTGCTTTGTTGTCTTCAAATCTAGATAAAGATTACACACCTAAAACAGCCTTGAAAAGCCACTGTGGGCTTAAATATTAGTGATATGCTGTTTGGTGTTGCTTAACTAATGGTCATGTGCCATAAGCATTCATGCTCGGAACTCTGGATGCTTCTGATAACTTTCTGTGGTACAGCAGTTTCCAAAAGAAGTTTTTCACAGCGGAGACAAATCTATTGGAAGCTAGGCTTAATTTTGTTCTACTGATTCCCGAAATGTTCAAACATCAAGGCGTTGTTTTTTATTAGCTATTTAGACCCTTGTATTCTGTTTCAATTTGGTAGTACAGCTATGCTATTTTGTTTTCCGCACCTAATTGTGTTATCTTGGCAACTATCCTCACAAGTTATAACTATGTTTCTTTGCTTTGCAGTTAAGATTGGCAGACCTGGATATACAGTAACTAAACAGTATGATCCTGACACGAAGCAACACTCATTTCTCTTTGAGGTTAGTATTTATCGTGCTTGTACATCTTGTTCTCAGAGTTGGTCAATAGAGGATTTGTACATGATCAAATAAGTTGGTTTACCATCTTCCTGTATCTAGAGACACTGTTTTGTCATTTTTCATTCCATGTCATTTGTCATGTCATGTAGGCATCTGAATTACAAATGGCAAGGATCTTATAGTGATACCAGTTAAGTTAGGTTCGTTTCCAACTTTTAGTTTATTCATATACTAGTATGTTTCTACAGTTTTACTTGCCTCCCGTTGGCAAACCAATTTTACAATGCTATCTACTCCCCTCCATTCCTAAATATAAGTCTTTTTAGAGATTCCAATGCGGACTACATACGGAGCAAAATGAGTGAATCATACATTCTAAAATATGTCCATATACATCTGCATGTAGTTCGTATCTCTAAAAAGAGTTATATTTAAGAACGGAGGGAGTAGAAGTTTATCTTTTGATAAAGCAGCCTTACTGAAGAGTTAACACATTCAGAATAGTGACAAATAGCGACATAATCAGCCAGTTTCTCTTATCGATTTCTCTTGTTATGAGCATTTAAATAACCATGTACACTGGGGTAGTGGAGTGACAAATTTTGGCATTCTGTTTTCAGATCGAGTATCCTGAAATCGAAGATAATAGCAAGCCAAGGCACCGTTTCATGGCATCATATGAACAGGTATTAATGGGCCCTGGGCTAATCTGTGAGCATCATCAGTCTGATATATGTTGCTTTACTGTTAATAATCTTCCATTTGCTAATGTACTACTATTGTTTTACAGAAAATCCAATCTTGGGATAAGAGGTACCAATATCTGCTTTTTGCAGCGGAGCCCTACGAGGTCATTGGCTTTAAGGTGTATCTCTTGCAAAGCTCTGCTGCATCAGACCCATTAGCCAATGTGTATGTGTGTACTTATACTGTTTCTTATTTGCAGATTCCAAGCACAGAGATTGACAAATCAACAGACAAGTTTTTCTCGTATTGGGATCCGGACAAGAAGTCGTACATTGTGAGTTTTTCTATGCAGGTTTTTGCCGTTTCATTTAGCTGCCTTTAAAAACAATATTGTTTCACAAACTTTCACATTTTTTTTACAACAGCTACAACTATACTTCAAGCCAAGACCACCGGAAATTAACAGACAACCAGCAGCTCCTGGTACTGTCCCAAATGGGACAGGAGGCCCTCCTGGTGCTCCACCAAGGCCACCATCCCAGCCACAGGCTCTGCCGCCACCTCCACCGAATGCACCTATGGGAATGCCCCCTAGGATCCCGCCACCACCAATGAGCGGTCTTCAACCTCCACCCCCTCCACCTCCGCTTGCAAATGGTCCTCCGCGTTCAATACCACCTCCACCTCCTTCTGGTGGTCCAATGGCTAACTTTACTCCTGGAGCACCTCCGCCACGCCCTCCGATGCAAGGCTACCCTGGACCTCAGCAGTAGGTGATCTTAGTGCGGGCAAGAGAGATCAGGCTACAAATTTTGAACACTTGCTTTATCCAAACCAGTATGTTTGACATATGCGCTACATTGTTGTCTGAAATTTTACTGTACTGTAAGCAGATTAAATTATTTAAGTGCGCTTTCAAGCAAAGCATTTTATCTGTTTGTGTTGTCATCTCTTTGTAACTTCGTTTTTGGACGTTATCCCTTCGGCAGACGATTCTGTAATTGTCATATTCCTGGGCAAGTAGAGTGCTCTTCGAAGTATACTATCGTGGTAAATGTGATTTATGAGCATCATGTTCCAATCTGTTCATGAAGCGGTTCATGTTCTTGCTAATCTGTTTAGTTCTGATTTAGTGCATTTGTTTGGTTGTAACCAAAAGCACAAAGTGAAGCCGACTTTTTTGCTAAAAGCTACAAGATCATGTTGAGCCACAAAAATACTCAGCAAAGCGCTAGGAACTGCGCACTTTGTAGTGGTTTGAGAATCGGTGATTTCGTGGCATCTAAAGTTAGGTTCAGATAGTCGAGATCATTCGAAGTTATACGGATGACATCTAAAACGGCAAAATCAGTCACGCTTTGCAGTGGTTTGAGAACCAGTGATTTCGTGGTAGGATGTACTGTATAAAGTTAGGTTCAGATAGTTGAGGTTAATACATTCTGGATAGCTTTGGACAGCTTTGTGAGCTCTGGACAGCTCTGGACAGCTTTGCACTGGATACTTCTACAGGCTACTCGCTTTCCGAGGGGTTTTGACAACTTTTCACACCTGGGTTTGGGATGTGGTGATCCCCCTCAAGCACAGAATCTTCCTATGGCTTGCTTTCTCCCTCAAGCACAGAATCTTCCTATGGCTTGCTTTCCGTGGCCGCCTAAACACTAAGGATAACATGGTAAAGAAAGGCTGGTCGGAGGCTGCCCAGTTTGCACATTGTGACACTTGCCCTGCTGTTGAGTCAATCGATCACTTACTACTACGCTGTGCGCCCGCCAGCGTTCTTTGGGGCAAAATGGAGCTGGACGTTCTGGCTTGCTCGGCTACTAATGTTCTTTCTTTTGTGGAGCAAGCACAACACCAGATTGGCTTTAGGCACAAATGGAATGTGGCTTTCGCGGCTTGTGCTATTACCTTGTGGCGTGCTAGGAATGACAGAGTCTTCAACTCCAAAATCTGGTCTGTACAATACACATGTCTATATGCAGCAGACATGCTCCGTCTTTGGAGTTTCAGAACTCAAAACCAGCGCACCAGGGAGGTTCTCCAGGTTTGGAGACAAAAGCTGCTGCATAGCGTGTAGACGAATGATGTAACCCTTCTCCCCTCTATTCCTCTTTTCTTTTTTTAGACCTGCTTGTGTTTTGCACCTTGGTGCACCAAACAAGCTGTCCTTGTACTGATACCTGTTACTTCATCAGGCTCTGGCCTGTTTTGAAATATAAGATCGGCAGCCTGCCACCTTCTTTGTTTAAAAAAAAAACATTCTGGATACTTAACAGTTATTCAATTCTTATGGTTCATTCTTCCGATTATGTAGGCTGCATAAACAGGCCAGGCCGACACGGGCCATATGCAAGATGTATTCAGATGATTACGCCAATGCGCCAGACAAATCAATCTCTGAAGCTTGTTTTGTTCTTGTATGTTCTCCAACGTCCAAGGGGGTAGCAACAAACAAAAACCCCTTGAATGTGAAATTTCCTAACCGGCTAAAAGAAAGTCTCACAGTGTACATTCAACACTTCATCCTCCGATGCTGGAGCTCTTGCAAGAATCAGAGCAGCTCCGGGGGTGCCGGTTTATACATCTACTCCGGTTACAGATAACTCAGGACAAGACCTTCCCTGGTGCGGTCAGTTCTGCTTCTCATGATCTACTCGGTGCAAAGTAGTGGCAGCATGACAACTAGAGCTGACTCCCCCGGTGGTTGGTCTGGAGAGTTAATCACAAGCAACCATGAGATAATTTGGTATTGTGGCATAAATTGTTGATGATGTCAGAGATGCATGTCATAACAGCAAGAGATACTTACAGCCCAACAAATACTTTAAACGCGTCATATGTTGCCCATTGCGCTCCGGTAAGAGTACCGACCATGATAATACGGAGTGGAAGGCCACGAGTGAAAAGGCCCCACAGCCCAATGGTTGTTATAGCCTGGAAGCTCAATTAATCGATTAAAACAGTTCAAAAATTGAATATTGATACCACGATTTAGTACCGCCTGACAGCCAGATGGGTGTAAGCTATATAGTTAACAGTTCTGAGCATTTTAATTATTTACTGGGATAGGACTTGCAACTTACATCTGCCACAGTGGCTCCCTTTGCATTGTTGAGAAAAGACACCAAGTTGTCTGCGGGATGAGAGATAGCAGCACATAAGACTCCAGCAATGTACCCCCCTGCAAAACTCACAGCTAGCTGGAGTGGTTTACTGCATTGATCTTTTGGTTTTGGGACAGCATGCTTGTACACCATCTCAACAATGGTCTCAAAACAAGCAAATTTCATCATAGTGTCTGCAATGTAATGGAGAAAATGATCAGGGAGCACACCTTAACATAAAGGCTATAAGATGGCATCAAAAACTGTTTCATAGTCATGTTGAACAATCGAGTACTTCATCCATAAGCACCGTATTCAACCAATTATCTTCCTTCCTTTGCAATTTGCTAACTAGTATCATGCTTCCCATATATTTTTCTGGACACCATGTGTCACGTTGCTACTATATAACTGCCATTTCATCAAACAAATCAGCTCACAATTGCCAGATGAGTATTGTTTGGGTTAAAACCGCACTGAGCTCTCTATTCCACATGTCATATTTCTCATCTGTTCTCTCTCTACTGATTTGTTTAGTAACATGGCAAAAGCGTGGCATCCACGTTAGCCGGAATCAGTTGTAAACTAGAGTGTGGGGGTTAAAAGGTCATCTTTTTTGCTGTGAGCCTGTGACAACTATAGATGATCTGGATTGCATATATTTCATAATAGAGGAAACAAATATAATCAACTAGGCTTTTCATGGTTGAGCAAGGGCTGCAAACTAGGTCTAAAATACAGAAATTAAGGAGTGTCAAACTTGTGAGTCTATGGAAAAGCAACAGTGATAAATGGCTAACTCAGTTTGGTGGGCATTCTGGAATCATGTTAGCCCCAACTCTATGTCCCATGAAATTTCTAGCCTTTAACACTCTAAAGAACTCCATACACAATAGTATGATCTCTAAAATTGTTTGTCTCGGAAACGAGCTAAACGAAGATTCTGGTATCAAAATGTTCAGCGGTACTACTATTGTTTGGCCATGTACCATTCAACCATTGGCATGCAAATACAGTAGGAAAATATAACTTGTAATGAATTCGACTCACAAGGAATTTGGCGGCCCCAAAGAGGAACTATTCCCTTGTAAAGCCTGAAATGAACACATAGCGTTAACGAGTGTTCTGCACTATCTTGAATACAACTAATCATAACATAATCAGTACAGGACATGCAGTATCCATACCCAAAGGCACCTTCGGACCGGACAAGCTTCGGAAGCCCATCGGTTAGGCATCGAGCGAATCCCGGCTGCGTCTGGATCCGAACCTTGACGGCTTCCATGGGGCAGAGAGCTAAATCTGCAATTACCTCAGCCGACGCCGATGCAGCGAGGTAGATGGCGGTCTTCAACCTGTCAGCATTCTCGGGACCAGCAATGTCCGAGTAGCACTTCTTAAAGTACTCGTAGAAACCAAACTTGCAGGCTCCCTGGCTACTATACCCAACCAGCGTGGCCATCCAGCCTTTGAAGAACCCACCGAGACCCTGCTCTTGGAGCAGCACACCGAAGCCAGACGAGATGTCCCTGTACTTGCTAGGGTCAACCTGCGAGAGCAATTCCCGTCAGACATTAGTACCAGGGGAGCGGGAAGCTTGGACAGGAGCAGCAAGGGAGCCCGTTTCTGTTTGAGAGACCTGCATATTGCACTTGACGAGGTCGAGCGGCGTGACTGCGAGGTGGGTGAGGCCAGTGCTGAGGACCCCGCCGAGGGCGCAGGTGGCGTAGAAGAGCGGCGTGTGCAGCTGCACCGGCGGCGCCGCATCCGCCTCCATCCTCCGCTCGGCCGCTCTGGCCCTCCGGTCGCGGACGGCGATCTCCCATCTCTTCCCCAGCTGCTCCGCGTTGGCGGCGAGCGAGGCCAGGAGGCGGTCGAGGGGCAGCGTGGCCGTGGGGCAGCCGACCTTGTCGCGGCTCGCCATCTGGGGACGTGAGCTGGAAGCTGGAGCTGGGCGCGGTACTCGGGAGGTCGTCGCGGTCGGAGACGCGCATGGTAGGGGGGGCAGCTGGGAGGGGGGTTCGGGCGAAGGCCGCGAGCTGAGCTGAGCTGCGCCGAGACCCGCCCTTGACCCTTGCTCTCCCGCACCGGCGGCTGGCCGAGACGCGAAGTGGTGTGCGGCGGCTGCTTTTCCGAGGGACGCCGACGCGAGATTTGGGTGCGGATTGGGTGGCGAGATGCTGCCGCCGCGCGCAGCGGGCGGGACGGACCCCACCGCCTGTCGGGAGGAAAAGATCCGACACGCGACGGGAAGTTGCGGTGTCTGATCGATCGACGGAGAGAATATGCCGCCCGCGGTACACGTACACTGCCACGGCGTCGTCGTCTACGTGCATCGCAGGTGCCACCTGCGTGCAATGGAAAAAGTCCATTTTAAACCTTGAACTCGTAGAGGTTCGGCGAAATGAACCCTCAAATCAAAATCCCGGTCGATTGCACCCTAAACTATGCAATTCCGGTCTAAATCGAACCTTCGGATTGTTTGGATGGCCGGGATTGGCGTCATCCGCAGAGGACTCACACCTGCTCAACGTTGGGCTGGCCCGCTTTTTTTTCTGTCAAGAAACAAAAATTCGCAAAGGCGCTACACCTTGCTCCCTGTTTAGCCGGCCCGCTTCATATTTTCCGTTAGAAAACAAAACATAAGCTCACGGTGTGGCACTGGTGTTGTTTGATCGATGCAACGGCAATCCCTGTGTGACGCTCGTTTTTTTTTGAGGGGTCCCTGTGCGACGCTCGTCTGCGTCAAGACGGTGTGGCTTCGCGAAGCTTCGCCTCGCAACAGCCCCGTTTGGGCTGGCCCAGACTTGTCCGCTGCTGCCTCTCTGTTATCTCTGTTTTCTGTTTCTGTTTCTTTTCCTTTTTCTGTTTCTTTTCTTTTTTCTGTTTCTGTTTATTTTTTTCCTATATTTTTATTTTTATTTCTATTGTTTCGATTTTATTATAATATACAAAGTTCGTTGCATGTTACAAAAATGTTCATTGGTATATTAAGGAAATGTTCATGGTTCTTTACAAAAGTTCATCATCCATTACAAAACTGTTCAACATTTATTAGAAATTGTTCAATGAATATGTAATCACAGTGTTTTTGAAATTTATTAAGGTCATATTACACAAATGTTCAATGTGTATTAAAAAATTGTTCAACATATATTACATAATGTTCAATGCGTATTCAAAATTTGTTCAGAGGATATATTCGTATGTCTAAAAAAATATTCATGTTTAAAAAAAATTCTTCAGAATGTTTTTGTTCCATTTTTTGGTAACTTTTTAGAGAAATGTTTGGGATTTCAAAAAAATAGTTCTGTTTAAAAAATTCAATTTTAAAAATGTCGTGTGCTCTAATTTAAAAAATGTTTGTGTTTTCATAAAAAATCAGGAGTTTAAAAGTTATTCCCGTTAAAAATTATTTGCAAATTTTCAAAAACGTTCATGTTTTAAAATTTTGTTTGGGAGTTTTAAAAAATGTGCATGTCCCAAAAGTTTATTTGAATTTTCCAAATTTATTAGGGTAAATCTGTTCACGAATTTGAAAAGTGGTCGCTTTTCATAAAACACTCAAGTTCTTTTAAAATGTTTTGCATTTGAAATTTTAAAAAATATCCGAATATTTTTTATTGAAAAACTATTCGAATCTGGTGATGATTCTTATTGTTTTGTGCTTCTGGAAAACAAGTTTGCTCACCCGCAAAAAAAGAAAAAGAAAAACAAATTTGCTTGCTAGCTCAACTGGTTGCAACCGCACCTGTAGCTGCAAGCTCGCGCGAGTTCCGCTTTTGCGTACTTTTTTTTTTAGCAAAACAGGAAGCCCGTATTTTTTTCAACTTATACAACCGCAACTGGTACTACTTGATTTGGTGTTGGTTCGTAACTTGTCAAGCCCGTATTTATTTTTAGCGTTACACAAGCTCGCTCGAGTTCCGCATGTGCGTACTTTTTTTTGAGCAAACAGAAAAACAAATGGGCTGGCGCCCTGGTAAACATTGGCGCTCCTTGGCCCACCAGCTAGACAAATCCCGGTTGACACTTGCCAGGGTTTAATTTAGACCGGAATTGCATAGTTTAAGGTGCAATCGACCGAAATTTTGACTTCAGGGTTCATTTCGCCAAACCTCTACGAATTTAGGATTTAAAATGGATTTTTTCCGCGTGCAATCGACGAAGAGGAGTATGCTTGGCGCGGTACACTGGCCGGCGCCGTCTGCGTGCATCGCCGGCATGGATACTGTGATCATGCCTCACGTGGTTTGATTGCTGTTAGTGTTTCAGACCCGGTGACGGTGATGGACTGATGGTTGACATGTTGGCAATTAGCAACCACACGAAATACCGATTAGAGTCCAGCTATAACGCCTCTGTCATAAGTACTCCCTCATTTGAATTATCAAAACATCATATATTTATATATTTAAAAACAGAGGGAGTACGCCTTATCGATATGCCAACTCGCCCGTACCAATATCTTATCGACTGAAGCACACGTACATGACGCTGAGCTTTATCTATCGGTGGATTGTGCCTGTTTAGACGCTCCTCGTGTCGCGGGGCACCTCCCGCCCATCCCCGCGTCATCGTCGCTGGCCCGCCCCCACGTCCCCGCCATTGGAGGGCCGGCTGGCGAAGCCGTGTCAGGCCATAGGATGGTGGCGGCGGGTCCGTTTCTCCTCCTCATCGCCCAGCTGCCCTTCGCCTCCACGTTCCGGTCCCGGACAGCACCGGCGGTCTCCCTCGGCAGCCTCTTTCCCGCTACGCAGGCAGCACCGGGGCCTCCCATCTCAAGCGCAACATACCCTTCCTCCCGAGATCCGATCTGCGCGTCTTCATCCAGCTGCCCCTCCCCGGCCGGCAAGACCGATGTTGCGGCTTGGCCGTGGAGTGAAGGTATCCTCCGCATCCCTCTCCCTCCCATTGGGCGTAGCCTAGCTCGCTGCTGGTGCCGCGACTGGTTGGGGTGGACGCGGGTGCTGTGGCCGGTCATGGGTCTTCCTCGTCTAGGAGACCCTTGTCTCCGGCAGCACCCACCTCCCTTGTGCTTCAGTGATGGCTCTTGCGTGGTGATTGTTGAGGCAATGGTGGTTGATTCCCCGGCGGCGGCTGCCTTTCACGGCGCGCCGACCTGGTGTTGTGGTGTTCGTGCGGCGCCTCATAGTGGGAATTTGCTGGCGCTCCCTCGGCCCCAGCGGCCTTTGGACCCGAGTTCCCCAGTGTCGGTGGCTTGCCGGTGTCCTCTGGTGATGCAGCACCGGCCACATGATCCGGTAGCTGCGTCTCTTCCAGCTCATTCGGTCGTCGACATCCCGACGGCTATAGCCTTGACATCTCGGAATGCGTTCTTCCAGTCCTTGCTTGCCAGCGTCGCTTGTCCCTATTGCTTCCCCCGCGTTGTTTCTCTCTACCTCATCGCACTATCGACGTTGTACCTCCGCGCCTCGCTTAGTGCCAGATCCATTATTGTGTGTCTGGTGGCGCCAGGTGTCACCTTCGCCGGCCTACCCCCTCTAGATTTGGTGGCTCCGGCCAACAACGGCTTCCCCATAGCAATTTTTGGATTCGGTGGCTATGGGATTGCTCAGAATCAGGCCAGAGAGAAATCTCTAAAGGAAATATGCCCTAGAGGCAATAATAAAGTTGTTATTTATATTTCCTTATATCATGATAAACGTTTCTTATTCATGCTAAAATTGTATTAACCAGAAACTTAGTACATTTGTGAATACATAGACAAAACATAGTGTCCCTAGTATGCCTCTACTTGACTAGCTCGTTAATCAAAGATGGTTATGTTTCCTAACCATAGACATGTGTTGTCATTTGATGAACGAGATCACATCTTTAGGAGAATGATGTGATGGATAAGACCCATCCGCTAGCTTAGCATTATGATCGTTACAGTTTTATTGCCACTACTTTCTTCATGACTTATACATGTTCCTCTGACTATGAGATTATGCAACTCCTGAATACCGGAGGAACACCTTGTATGCTATCAAACGTTACAACGTAACTGGGTGATTATAAAGATGCTCTACAGGTGTCTCCGAAGGTGTTTGTTGGGTTGGCATAGATCAAGATTAGGATCTATCACTCTGTGTATCGGAGAGGTATCTCGGGGCCCTCTCGGTAATGCTCATCACTATAAGCCTTGCAAGCAATGTGACTAATAAGTTAGTTGCGGGATGAAGCATTATGGAACGAGGAAAGAGACTTACCTGTAACGAGATTGAACTAGGTATGATGATACCGACGATCGAATCTCGGATAAGTAACATACCAATGACAAAGGGAACAACATATGTTGTTATGCGGTTTGACCGATAAAGATCTTCATAGAATATGTAGGAGCCAATATGAGCATCCAGGTTCCGCTATTGGTTATTGATCGGAGATGTGTCTAGATCATGTCTACATAGTTCTCGAACCGGTAGGGTCCGCACGCTTAACGTTCGATGATGATTTATATTATGAGTTATGTGTTTTTGATGACCGAAGATTGTTTGGAGTCCCGGATGAGACCACAGACGTGACGAGGAGTCTCGAAATGGTCGAGACATAAAGATTGATATATTGGAAGACTATGTTTGGATACCAGAAAGGTTTCGGAAGAGTTCAGGCATTTTTCAAGGAACCGAGGGGTTACCGGAACCCCCTAGGGAAGTTATGGGCCTAGATGGGCCATAAGGGAGTAGGAGAGGGAAGGCCACAAGGTGGCGCGTGCCCCTCCCCTTTGCAGTCTGAATTGGACTAGAGAGAGGGGGCGCGACCCCCTCTTTCCTTCCCCTCTCCCTCTCCTTCCCTCCTTCCCCCTCTTGGATTAGGAAAAGAAGGGGGGGATTCCTACTAGGTTTGCAGTTCTAGTAGGACTCCCCCCTTGGCGTGCCTCCCCCTTGGCCGGCTCCCTCCTCCTCCCTCCTTTATATA